CCCCCCCCCCCCCCCCCCCGGGGGAAGGATAGTGAGGGCAGGGGTAGAGCTGGGTCAACCCAGGTCGGCGGAAGGCTTCGCTGCACTCCTTCTCCCCGTGCCCTGCCTGCCACGCTGGCTCTTCTTCGTCTGCCATGAAAACGGGATGGGCGGGCGGGCAGGGGCCCCACGGCCACCCCCCTCCTCCCGGCTCGGTTTGCCCCCTTCTCCTCCGCGAAGGCCGTTCTTCCTTCGGGGGGAGGACAGAAGAGCCAATCCAAGCAGCGGCAGACGATGGCGTGTGTTTATTTACTAGGACTGGTGACCCCAAACCAGAGTGGAATGAAGAGCTGTACAAAAAGCCTTTAAAATCAAAGACAGGCAGTTGTCTATTTTCCAGAGGTTGCAACAATCACAAGTATGAACTGGTCAATTTGGGGTGACTGAACCCCAAAGAACTCCCAGGAACCCTGACTGCAAATGTATACAAAGCATGATTCTCCCACACAGCTGAGCACGCGCCCTACTCGAAGGCGACCCTCGCGCCCACCTTGTCCCGAGTGCCCCGGAGCGTGCGCAAGGGGTCTTCCGCCTGCTGCGGGCCCAGCGAGGCTCTCCCTCCGCAGGATCCTGAACCAGACTTGGGACCCAGCCTAGACTGAGGAGGCCTCTCGGGGGTCCTTCTAAGGCCTCCGGCATGACACATCAGAGGCAGGAAAATAGACTGGGTCTGTGCGAAGCTTGTGCAAATAGCAAAAATAGAAGGGTTACACACTACATGAATAGAAACCATGCATAAAATACTTTGCATATATAATATGTAGCAGAGTTTTGAATTCTTTATAAAAAAAGAAGTGTACGAAAACCTCATTGCAGGAACTGAGACCTGAAAAGTTGAAACCTCTACATGGCAAGGGGGCATTGGGGGGACCGTTGCAGCCCCATTGCTGCCTCCCTTTCTTCAGCTTTCTCCCCGAAGGTTGAGAGTTTGGGGGGGGGGGTCTGGAGAAAGAAGTCCAGCCTGTTCAGTTTCCATCGCAAGGAATGCAGAGGGCCGAGGGAGGGAATCCTTTCAGGGCACAATTCAGGGAACCCAACGTAACCCCCTTTCAGAGGAAATCCACCAGGCTGGCTGGCACGATTGCAGAGGGTGTTAAAACTTGCCCTGGGAAACCACAAAATAAGTAAAAGCTCCAAATCTGAGGATTCGCACTCCACCTTTGCCGCCTTACTGTTCCCAACAATTTCAGGGACTGCAGCCAGGGAGGACTTTTTTTTAACTAGTGAGAGCTCGACAAAACAAAAACTTTTGCCCAGCATTTGGCTTGAAACCTCTGGCTTCCAAAGCCAGCTACAAAATCTGACAGCCCAGAATGATGACCTGGGGTTGGTTTCGCCTTTCTTTGCAAAAGAAACTGCAAACGGGTGAAAAACCAGAAGGTGGGTGTTGGGGCTAGGATTCAAGGGCAAGGTATTAAAGTGCCCCAATGTAAATGCCCAGACCGGATCTGGATTCTGTAGGACTGCCCCTTTCCAACCGACACGGGGTCTGCATGGCGCCTTCTTTACCCCAAGAGCAGTTTGGATCTGGGGGTCCGCAGGCAAGTCCTGCTCAACAGGAGTCAAACTGAGCCACGGTGCCCACTCACAGGACGCCCCCCATTCCACCGCCCCCCATGGGTAACACCCCATCTGCCTGGCACTAAAACCTCCAGCTGCTGGAGCACCCACACAATCTGTGACCAGGGTCCTCGATCCAAGCCAGCCGCCTTCCAGCACAAACCTAGAAGGACTTGCCCTGTCCCCACGGCCACCGCCTTGTGCCCGTTTCAGAAGAGATGTCCTCTTGGAACAAGGACATTGGGCGGGAGCCTCCTGCAGTTCGAGCAGACAGTAAGAGGATCGAAGCCTCTGGGTGAGCTTTGGAGGGGGAGATGGGAGGAAGGCGTTCTGGAGAGAGACTGCACAGAAAGTGGTGGCAGCAAAGGGGGGTCCCTCCTGGAAACTCACGCTGCTAATGAAGGAACACCTCACCCTATCACTCGCCTTCTCTTCAGGTTCACAAACAGCTGTTAAGGCCAGACACATTTCTGCCATGATCTGAGAAACACAACAGGAGAAATCGATTTTCTCTGGTCCAAAGTTTCAGCCGAAGGGCGGGAAATGCCCCCCCCCCGCCCTTTCAGGACAACAAGGTAAAAAAAGCTGCTAGGTTTCGGGGAGAGCAAATCCTGGGCTCCGAATCTATTCCCCAACAAACATCCGAAGGGTGTGTATTGAGGAACAAAAGCATTTCCACTCACATATCGAACAAAGGCATGAAGCCACAATGGAGTTACTGGATTCTTCCAGGATGAACTGCCACCAGGCTCCTCAACAGGAATTTTGGGGCACCACAAAATGCCAGTCTTCGCCAACAAGTCTCTGACTCATCTGCTCTGCATTAAACAGTGCCTCTCAACCTGAGGACCAGAAAAGCTCGTGGCAAGAGATGTCCAGCCAGGACTGCTGGATGAGACTGACCATCCTGGAGAGAAATATGGTGCCTTTGAGAGCATCGTATCAGGGAAATGACCAATTTCTCCATGGTCTGCGTGACATTTTCTAGCAGAGACGGGGACCTGGCCCAGAATGGGAGCCAGCAGCCTTCCGGAAGCCCCCGTGGTGCCTCCAGATTCTCTGCTGCCTCCCTGGGCTTGAAAACCAAGCAGGGGGACCTATGGCATGTCTTCGAAGGGCCCTGAACAGAAGCCGGCAGCGTTTGCACCAGCCCCGAAGCACCCAACGAAGCACAGTGACTTGATTAATTTTATCAAGACAATGAGGAATGTGTCTGCAAAACGGAATGGTTTGAACACTCTGAAGGTGGGCAGGAGGGAGGAAATGGCACACCAAGAATCTGGTATAAAATGACGGGTAGGAGGAAGGAGCATTTTGCTATTGTGTCTTTAGGCACTTCAGAAAATGTGGGCTTCAAAAGGTAGGAAAACATTCACAGCTCAGCTGCGCGGCTGAAACCAAATTGCCTGAAGTGCTGCGTACACCGAACAACGTGAACAGCACCGTTTGGAAGAAAGCCCCTCCGCCATGAAATGCTGTCATGGAATCTGTCCTCAGGTCCCCACGAGGTCCTGCTCTGCCGGAGCACCAGGGGAGAACGCTCCCGAAGGAGGCCGCCCAGGCTGCCTTCAACCATCCTCTTCATCCTCGCTGATCAGGTCCCTTTTCTCTGGGTTGGTCTCCCTTTCGCGCAAGAAATCCTCCCGCATGGCTTCCAGCTCCATGAGCTCCAGGCGCACCTTTTCCAGGTGGTAGGTCCTCCGGTTCCTGATCTGGCGCAGAGGAAAGGGATTGAGGTCCCTAAAAGCGATGCCGATCAGTTTCCTGGAAGAAAGAACAGCCACCACAGAGGCCTCACTGCCTGCCTTTCAAAGCGGGGCCTCAAATGTTTTATAGCAGGGGTTATCAAACTTTTTCAGGTTGCGGAACCTGTCCGGCTAAAAAAAAAGAACAAAAACCATACGTCTGGAACCCCTGATCAAGAGGGAAAGCTCTAGTGACAGGAAATTGCCTGGGTCCGGGTGGACTTCTTTTTGCCCTTAATCTCTCATGGGACCCCATCAAGTTCTTGAGGAAGCCTAGGAGTCAAAACCTATTTTATGGCACTGTTTACATTAACGTTATTATTCTTTTCTCCGATAAGCTCCTCCTAGTAATATGTGACTGATTCACTTGCTAACTGCAAAGAAAACAAGTAGTTCTCACCTGGCATCCAGGACTGTGCGAGTGAAAGATCTGAGGTACTTGAATATGGAAGTCGAGTCTTGGAGCCTTAAGATCGCCTCCTCTTTGTATTTGAAGAGTGCCAAAGCAAACCGGAAAATAACCTGGGCATTCAAGAAGCTTTGGATTACAAAAGAGAGAAAGCCACATGGACGGTTCCTTCCCCCAAGCTTTGGCTGCCTACCGAAGATCAGCCCTCCACCTCCCAACTCCTGAAAGTCCCACTCAGCCGACCCGCTGGCCTCTGAAGCCCCAGCAGGGGAGCTACGCACCTTTGGTCCCTCATACAGAAAGGAATCCCATATTTTGAAGAGAACGTCGCTGACCACGCTGTCCACAAAGACAATCAGGAACCAGTTGAAGGTGATGAGCGAGGAGTCCACCCGGTATTGTTCAAAGTGTGCGTGCAGCCGGGGCAGCTTCTCATTCATCAGGTCCTTGAAGACTCGCTGGTCCACCTAGGAGCAGGAGCAGGAGCAGGAGCAGGAGCAGGAGCAGGAGCAGGAGCAGGAGCAGGAGCA